AGCACCATACGGGCTGCTGCTATAGGCGCTGTAGTAAGAGCTGTAGGAGTAAGGGCTGGCGGGGATGTTGTAGGGCGCTGGGTAATGCTGGGAGCCCCCGAGACAGGGTTTGCCGTCCCGGACCAGCACAGGCACTGCCACCCTCCGTGGGGGCAGCGGGTGGGCAGCCAGCTCCAGGGATTTATCCTGCCTTTGCCTCTTGCACTTGTATCGCCGGTTTTGGAACCAGATTTTCACCTGCGTGGAGGTGAGCTTGAGCACGCTGGCCAGGTGCTCCCTTTCCGGAGCGGAGAGGTATTTCTGTTGTTTAAATCGTCGCTCCAGTTCAAACACTTGAGCTTGGGAGAATAAAACTCGGGGTTTTCTGCACTGTCGCTGCTTGGGATGGTGGCAGGGATCGGCTTTCTTCTCGTCTGCCTCGAAGGGGTGGGTGAGCAAACGTTTTCCTGCAGTGAAAAAGCAAAATGAGACCCAGCTCCTCCGATTCTGTTCTCAGTGAGGGTGCTTTTCCAAAGGAGGGAGAGAGAATTGGGAATGGGAATGGGGTGAAATAGGGTCGATTGATAGGTGTTGAATTTAATATGAGCTTTCCGGTGATGTTTAAATGGCAATTCCAACCACAAATCCCCACTGCCCTGCTCTGCAGGGAGGGAAGCGACGGCAGCCAGACCTCTGGCAGGATTTACCTCCAGTGCCCGAGGAAAGGGGAATCCCGGAACTGGAATCCCACTGGGAATGATGGAGAAAAAAACTGGTTATATCTGCAGATATAACACTTATATCTGCAGATATAAGCGCAGAGGCTTTCCTTTAACTCGCTGGTGGTTTGTGCTGCCGGGGGTCCTGCAGGTGATGGTTCCCCAGCGGGTGGGATGCGCTTGATGCCTTGGCAGGCTCGGTGGAAGCTCAGGGAATTTTGGGGGGGAACTGCGGGGAAATGGGGTGCTGGAGGGCTCTGTCTGCAGGTGTACAGAAGGCAGGGAGCCCTCCCCGGGCTGCTTTCGCGCTCTCCATCTCTCTGCCTCGGTATCCCAGTGCCTCCCAGTGCCCAGGCTCTGGTCCTACCGGTTTCTGCA